ACAATGCTTTTTCCCTGTCCGTCCGTTCCTCTCCCTCCACTCTCACCGGTTCACACATTCAATACCTCTAAAAGTATTGAAATGAAACACTGGAAACGGGACAATCCATTAATGATCAGGTGACCACAGACCATGGTAACGGCCTTGTAGGATTAAAATAAAATGGTGTACAATGATTTCACCCTCTCACATCGGGATCGTCATCAGTCCAGATTGATCGACAGGAGCATGATTAATTCCTAATATAAGCATTATCACTGATTAGAGAATACCGACATTATTTTCTCCGGCGTTTTTCAGACTAATCTTTACTAACAGAAAAATGGAAGTAATTTGTTAGTTTGAACAATTTCGAAACTGCTTGGAAAGCATTCCTCATTGTGATATTCCAAACAGCATAACGTACACCTTACGGGGACTATTACTGTCGAAACCCAGGTGCCTTCTTCAAGCTGCCTGATAAATGATCCTTTTATCAACAAGAAAATGGAACCTATTTGTTCTTGGAATTTGTCCGTGCCCCAATCTTTTTTTCTCTCGTTCCTCATGATTCAGTAAATAGTGTCACTTCATACTTAACACACCTGAAAAACTCAAAGATCTATATTGGAAAATGAGAGATTAATGAATCGTCTTTTGAACGTCAATTCAGAACCGATGACCACTGGGGAAAATAGTCCCTGGAAAAACGATTGTCCAAGATTGCACATCGTAAATAATTCTCTGAGGGGACTAGTTTCCTTAGGCTTCTGTTGCGTCTCCAATGGGATTTAACTTTTTTGGGGACTTTTGATGGTCTTCAGGTCAAACAAATCTAGTAGACAAGTAACCCTGTTGATTTATCTCGTTTTATTTGAATGAGTATTTTGTTTAGAACTGTTATTTCTGCTCGAATGAGCACAACAAGTGCCCATTCCCTAGGTGATCATTCTTGTGCACTTTATTTTTCTAGTGTTCTCCGGGGGTTGGTGATGATGTTTTCAAATGACTGGAAAACATCGTCACAGTTACCCGGTTATTTCATGCAATCAGTTCCCTCTAACGTTTTCATGAGAGCAATAAGAATCATGAATCATGAACACAGGATGTGCTCAATCCAACTAGTTCGAGGTAATCTCATCAGTTGTGTGTACATATTTTCAGATCACGTTCGGTTGAGTGACAGGTTTGGGGACGGGAGAACACATCCACGGGGAAGAGAAAAAATCAATGAATACGAAGGTCAAACGTCTTAAATTCGAAACAAATTGAGCATAGAGACAGGGAGCGTTATCACTGAAAATATGAGTTGGGGGACTTGAGGATGAGAAGGGCAGTAGTGAAATTTCTAGGGCACCGCAAAACTGGCCACGACTTCGATCTGTTTTCTCAAATCGGGTTCGTCACTTCCAGGGGCTACTGTCTCAACAAACCGTGTTAGACGGCTATTCTTCTAGTGGACCAAGGCATGAAAGGCGTCCTTAGGTTTGCCACATTCTTGTCGGAAGATTGGATCCGTTAGACTCCAAAGTCTTCGGTGCATGCTTTGTTATCCTGGTAGACAATCATCTCTCAGTTCTTCCGACATTATTATTATTATTATTATTATTATTATTATTATTATTATCGCAAGTACATCAAAATAGGCAAACACAAGAGGAGGCAACTGAAACGTCGGGTTTGTCTAGATTGGATTCAATGAGCATTTGCCTCGTGTCCTGCAGTATTATAAGGGCGGCATGATTATACGTTCTTTTAGTCACTTGTTTCAATCTGCGCTTTATCCGCTTATCATTTTGTTCATCTTGAAACAGTAAGGTGACAAAAAACAGCTTTTTCTAGTTAGAATCACTCTGTTTGGGTTTATTCAACGACGCTACGTATTTTGCAGTAAACGTTTAGGATATATATCCATTTTCGAGCAGTACCGTGGATAGGTAACGATAACCGAACTCTAATATTTCATTGGAGTAGATCATCCTGACTCTAGAGAACAAATTGTGCACCATACTATATTGTCGTATCACGTACACTAGCGAGACGATTTGGAAGCACCAAATCACCGTTTAATTCTTGTCCAGAATAGTGCATCCCTACTGAGCATCTGACAACTGGACTCTGGGCCTACAAATCAGTGGGTTCAACAAGGCTACTGGGTCCGGCTTTATTGGTTGCTCCTATCAACAACACCACAAAATGTAACACACATCTTTTTGTCAGTGAACTTCAATTTCCGTCAAGTAGATAAACAACTTCTTGCTGCGTGCGTTTTTATCAGTAACCCACCACAGCCTTTTAAATGATGTCAAATTGCATTTACCTTTTGATGGTGAGGGATTAAATTTTGAAGCGTTTCAAGCTCGCGGTATTTTAGTGCTCTGCGTTCCTTCGTGTTGCATTCGTTTTTACTTGAAGTGTGTCTCTAAACACCACTAAACTTGTTTCCAACATCGTTTCTGCAACATTGTGATTGTCCTATTCTGTGATCACGGATTAATTCAGTTGCACCTTCAACAGAACCACGGTTTAGTGTATCTGACCAGGACTTTTCGTTTGCGAAACTCTATTTCCGATTATCTCCCCTCAGATTTTGACCTTGACTGAATAGCTTCATTTACCTGAAAAACCGATTACTCGCCTATCCGAGACGGAAGTGATCCACTTCTTGACTAGTTACTTAACTACACCTACGATTTTCTTTCAATCTGGATTTCAATCACGAATCACATTTGATCCCTAATTCCTAACGATTATTTTGCTCAAAATTCAGGTTTGCGTCAGTTAAACAATAAATGTCTTATTATACAACATTAATATTTTTAGCACAACCTATTCGATAGACTAGAAAGAGGTAATCAATTGCCCAGGAGTAGGACTAGGACAAACGGAAGACGGCCTAGAATAACATGGGTAGATGCAGGGTAATGGTGCACGGATTCGAACACACGAATCGGGACACAACAGACCTGTACCGCACGGTCACCGCCGCGTAAAAAAGAATGCGGAACAAACAGGACCGGTATTGTTATTCCGTCTATTGTGGCCATTTTAGCCCAAGGTCAGGAGACATGCATGACTGCAGAGTCTCAGTTAGCATTTAAGTTTAGGAAACGGAAAACGCGAATTTCACCTCTGATATTCCTCTTTTGAATATAACCGACGAGAAATTTCACGGACTGATTGATTTTACCTGAAGTTGATATCACACTTCTGACTACTTTATTTGGTAATCTGTCTTTCACAATTCAATTGAAAACAATTCGGGAATTATCAGTCTGTATAATCTTCATGAAACTATGATAGTTTTTGGTTCACTTCAAAGACATTTGTATTGTTATGTAGCTATTATTGTTCGCTTTGTTAAAATGGTCCTAGTGCAGTGAAAATCGTTTTTTACAGATCATTGGGTCTGCATGTCTCATGTGATGCATTGTTGTATTAACACCAATAGCATCGCCCTCTCGACATGTGTGCGGTTCGGCCATGGTGCGCAATACGTAAGACAGAAGAAAACGTAACGGTCACCATCCTGCCCATTTGCCGTTTGTTTCACGTGAGAGGAAAGCCTGTGGCGATAAGCGAAACCTAGTGTGTGCAATATCACGAAGGAGACAGGTGCCTACTTTAACCCACAGTTAGGTGCGATTGTAGTTGATCGATCATAACTTTTCTAAGAACATAGTGAGCATATAACTATACAAAATACGTCTGAGAACTCGGTTACGAACCACAGGAACCTGCGGGAACCTAAAAGCAGATGGGAAGGGTAGCAGTGACAGGAGTTGAACATATTGCACGATTACGACAATCGTAACTACTTGACGACCGTCACCACATCACTTGTTTGTGACACACATATGCCTAAATCTCTTGCAGATCGTGGTATCTGGAGAGCAAGGCGAATCAGCCAATTTATCCGAATCATGAATGGCTTCAACTTGAATCTATCAGGAAATATGGAAACTGGAATAAGAAACAACTCGA